CAATACCATCATCAACACTACTCTTGCATTAACCCTCAATTAACTCCACCTCTATATCCAACAAATGTTGAGAAAACCAAGATCCAAACATTCTCGAGAATTCGCCTTGGTCATACAATTGCAACTCACCAATGGATCTTGAAGCAGTCTGCCTCCACAATCTGCAGTTGTGGACAAATTCTCACTATAAAGCACATACTCTGCGACTGCCTCAATTTTGCCTTGGCTAGAAGTATTGCAGTTGGAACGATTAACCGTTTGAACATTCTACAATCAGCTTCAGAACAGAATATCAATTCAATATATTACTTTATTAATACTACTAAGCTCATTATCTAATGTACATTTATTTAAATTAGACCCGATAGCCTGTGTTGCTAGTGGTCAATGTATTTTTTTAGTCTAAGAATTTATTTCATTAGTCTAAAATTAAAATAATAATAATAATAATTATCACCTTCTCTATACATACAAAACCAAAAAAAAAAAATTTATCTTATAAAATATATAATAAAGTTTTGTCATTCGACTAAGCTAATGAAAAACGCCAAATGGTTGTTGCACATATTAAACTCCGTACAGCTTTGTCATTTATTTATGAAATTCTCTGGCAACTTTCCTCAAAAGCTCTTTCATACACTATGTTAACTTTGCTGGCTTTTTTTTTTTTTTTTTTTTTAATTAAGTGCAATGTGCACCTACATTAAAATTGCATCATTTCAGTGTAATAATTTTTGATTTGTAAATTTGATTTTATTCGCGGTAAAGTCTTATTTATTATTATAATTGCATAATGTTATGTTCTTAACAGATCACGGGCAGAATCAGACCTGAGAATATATATGTTGAATATTGTATCCAGTGTTAATCGATTTGCTGCACTATGATTTGTAAAGAAATTAAGTATATAATTTAGGTACTTCCTCAAGTCAAATCTTGTAAAAGAATACTCTTAATACGCGACTTAAGGAGTAACAGTTAATTGACGACTAACTTCTTAATGATCTCGTAAGTCGTTTAATTATTTAATTCACTTTACACATATATATCCTAAATGAATTCGTTCAATTTGCACTTGAGATAAGGGTCGTTAATGTTAAATGATATAAAAGCCATTTTCTCATCAATGCTGTTGAGATTTGCAAACCTACGAGTACTGCTAAGCCTCTGTCTCCTTACGCAATTGTAATCGTAACAATCTAACTAAAATTTTTAGGGTCCTTATTTAAATTCACAAAAGCAACCATAATAAAGAGGTCTTATAAAAGAACTACGAAGATATAAATATTTTAGATTCCTATTTATTTAAATATATTATAATTTCGTTGGGACATAGTAAGTATATGTCAATGTATGCAAGCTTATGGAAATGAATAAGCAAATCAAAATAAACCAGAGAAAGCAACATGTCCTTCTTCTGTCTGTATGTTTACAGAAAACATAAACAATATAAACAAACCTTATGGGAAATGGCCGATTTCTCGCGATGTTGAGAGGAAAGCAAGAGCAAAACGTATTAAAATGTATTTAAGGAGAGGAAAAATCAGCCTTTTGAAGAGCATATGCGGTCGGTAAAAAAGCTTTTTATCCAGTCTCCGTTGCGAAATCTCTACAAATTCTATTGCTGATAATAACTCCTTTTAGTCAGGAGATGACAGGAAAATTTCACAGTACGTATTTGAATCTTGTTGTTTACGGTTGCAATCGAAGAGAAACGCTTTGAAAAAAAAAAAAAGAAAACTTAAAAATCTAATAAAAATAATGGAAATGTATTACTAAGGAAAATGAATAAGATTTTTTTGTGCCAAATTTATGAACACAATATAATTTTTTAAAAGCTTTTAAAATGATTTCCTTAAATACTTTGAAATAATGAAATGAAATTGCAAAAATGTTTAAAAAAATGTGTGGATGAAAGCAGTAAATAAGAACTTTTAATGCAACTGAAGGGTGAACATACGAGTAACGTTTCATTTTATATATTAATATACAAAAGATGTCTGTGCTGACTTTTCTTTCAATATAAACTTATCTGAGCATTGAATTAGTTTTTGTAAGGACCTGGATTACCTTGCAGAATAATAGCGTACATATGTAATTTAAAATAATAACGCATTTAATATCCTTCATAGTCCTTGAGAAAGTGGTTCAAAGAATTGTGCATAGCACATTTCGAAATCGAATAAAAATTGCTTATGTGTTAAACAATTATTGTCAATTTTCTTAAAACTTAAGAAGCCGGCAGGATAAAATATTTCGTTTGTGTACACATAGTCATTAGTGCAGTGAAGGTGCAGTATAAGTGTAGCAGAAAACTAGTAAATATATGAAAAACAATAAAGTGCAGCAAGCTCGGGTAAACACCCGTGAAATGTCTGACAGTAATTAATTTACTTTTTGAGAATCTCTTCAGACCAATAAAATCCAAAAACTTAAAATAAAATGTTAAGCTTTTTATTTATACGTTGGTGTGTATTAATTGCCATCATTTTGGAATATTATGCTGCAATCCAGGGAGCGCCCACTACCACCCATCATCTAACCATAGGAGTTCAAGGTAATACTCCGACGCTAATGGTAACCTCCTCTGAAATTGGTATAAAACAGAATACGAAGAGAGATTATGAGCTCAAATCGACAAAGGCTATCAAAGAGGAGACAACGAAATTCGCTGAAATCCTCACAGACAAAACAAAATTAAATAAAACAAAAGAAAATAAAAAAATTCTAAAATTTAACAAGGAACCGGGAATTACGAATGGAACAATTGCAAGAGATATGCATTTATATAAAGCGGGGAAGAAAACTGCATTTATTAGTATAACGAAATCGGCTCGCGGTGCAACACCATCCCAAATAAAAGAATTCAAAATTTCTGGTAGTATCGATATTAGCACAAGTACTGAGGATACTACAATGACGCCACTTTTTGCGCCTAAGCCATTTCCACGCAATAGTACAGCAATGCTTGCAACTTTTGCCAATGCACATCAATTACAACATTTGGCATCAGGAAAACAATTAATGGATAAATCCATTATGAATAACAAGGCCAACAACAGAAAATATGCACCACAGTCGAAAGCTATATCGCTCAGATCATTAGCGACAGCTTCAACATCAATTTCTTTAACGGAAGCCACGTCGAATTTACCAAAAGAACGTGAACATATAGAATTTGATGGAGAAAGTGAACCAACAATGAAAACGTCACCAACAAATGCTAGGAATTCGGAGGTAAGCGCACCCAATGAAGATCAAATTGATGAGAAGCTAAATGAAAATAAAACAACCACAATGCAGACGTCGCTTGGTACTCAAAATCACGCGTACAATATAAGCATTACAAAAATTCCACCCGCATTAGTATTAAACAAAAACGTTACGCTTACGGCATCTCATAAAAAAAAACAATCTAATAACATAGAAATTCAACAAGAATCTATTTTATTTAAAACGAATGATGAGTCAAATACCACAAAAAAACATGAGCGTAGGGCAAATAGTATTATCGGGTTTCAATGTACTACAACACCTAAATTACCGCTTACACCATTCGCAACGATCAAAACAGAAGAAGATAAGCAGATGAAGTTGAATGCCACTGACCTGAATACCACATTACGCGGAGGGCTTTCTGCCGCAACTACACCCGAAACCATCATAAAGCTTATCGATCTAGAGAAACATGACTTTAGAGCAATTCAAAATTTAAATCATTCCGCGCATGAGTATCATTATAGTGACGGACATGATGGCGTAAAGGTAACTAAGAAGAAACAATTGATTGATAAGCATTTTCTCGAAACAATTGACATTGACGACGCCCTTGAAAAGCCAAACACTAATTCAACGTCAGAAAATATAACAAAATTAGTTCGGAATGACAATGAAACTATAAGCATTGATGTAACCACCACTACCGGTAGCCCAGATAACTTAGTAAAAATATATAACTATTTGAGACCAATAATCACGGCTGAAAGAACATTTCACCGTCCTCATAAGAATGACACAAATGAAAAAACACTTTACAAGGCAGCTATTGAAAATCGACGACACAAGGGACATATTGCAGGAATTAAACCTACAATAAAATTCTTACCGACTTCCGCAGGGCTACCATTAACCACTAATTTCGCTAACACAACTTCTATAAAACACGAAACTTTATTTTCAACTGTTCTCTCTACCACAGTATTTCAAGTTCCAGAAATGATTGTGGTTACTAGAACTCCAGTGGAGCCCGGCAACGTAGTATTTACTTCCAAAAGAACACCTGCTGAACTGGAAAAGAAGACAGAATCAAAAATTTCTGACATACAAATTGAAGTGTACGATTCTACAGTAGATTCTATTGTAGCTTCTACTAACTTTAAAGACTTCGAGGCATCTCCTTTTTCGAATAGTACTTCAGTTCGAGGAACTACTAAACTACCTTCATCTTCCATACAGCAAGAACGTTTCACTCAATATGTAATAGATCGCAGTGAGACCTCTACACCGCAGTCAATTAATTTGACGGCTGTGCGTGTGGTCTCCGGCAGACCAGAGCCTGCGGTCATAGAAATTCATATTAACGTTTCGGAATCATTCGGAGGCAATGATAGCGAAGATTTGGATTTTTCTTTCACCCATAACGATTACGTAGTCAATGAAAATGATAAACCAGAAAATTATTACGAAGGTAAAGGCGGTAACGATATTAATGTTAGACTACCTATCAATTTAGCAACGGGACAAACAGAGTCTCCGGATGGCTTTCGCAATAAAGGGGGTAGTGACGAAATTCTGGTAGTGGAAATAGTCGATACGGATAATGATACACATTCAAAACCAAAACTAAAATCCATTGGAAGCAATGATGAATTATTCACGCCTAACATGGGCGATAACTTTGCAACACCTCCTCCACCTCCTCCGCCACCTCCTTATCAACCCAGCTTTGACAGAGATTCTGACACAATCTTTTATATTTCCAATACAGAAGTTAAGGTCGGAGAATCTTTACCGACTGGAAAAACTCCATATGAACAACAACAAGAACGTAAAACGAAATTGGAAAATCAATTTTTCCCAGTTAACTATATGGCGAGCACGAATCCGAATATACATAATGGCGAGGAAGAAACTTTTCAACCTCATCACCTATTCGAGGAGGATATTATATTGTCTCCGCGACATAACCAAGCAGATTCCCTAAAAATATATCGTAATCAAAACGAGGCCGCTCCACCTCTTGACGTTACTTACGTAGGAGAGTCCATAATTGAAGTCGAACAAAGTCCAGACATTACGGCGACTACCAATCTGGCACCAGAACACATTCATACACATCGGCCTGATATTATTATACAACCAGCGATATTGCCCGAAATTTCTATAGGGGTACCCGTCATAGGTGAACTGCCACCTCAAATTGAACTGAAAGAAATTGATTTCATGCCCAACGAAGCGCAAGAGCATCGCTCAGGCGTATATGAAAACGAAAACAGCAACAACATCAACTATGTTGACGAGAATGCCATGAATACTAATGGCAACGACGAAGCAAGACTTGTCGAGTCGTCAATACAGTACGGCGGCGACCTTATAGATGAGAGTGCTGATGGCGGTTTTGATGGTGTTGAGGGATCATACCCCTTTGGCAATCCATCTGCCATAAAGAACAATAAACCAAATCATGCAGCCGACTATGTTCACTTTTCAGTGAACTATGGCGTTAATAATATGCGTAAAGACGAATTGATGGCAGATGTTGGAGGCTATGAACAAAATGAAACACTGAAAGAGTTGCTTAGCAAAACAGGCGTTAATAATACTTCTTTCAACGTAACTTTTTCGGTAGCGGCAGAGCGCTTAAGTAATGCCACAGCATTTTCTTCTCTGAATATAGATTCTAATGATTTACTTGACGAAGATGCTGGTGAGTATAATTAAGAGACGTAGTGGTGGTAGTAATTGATTATATTGCCAAGTGTGCTGTTTGTTAACTTCTCTGATATACAGAAAAAGTTGCTAATGTCTTTTTTGCCATATTTTCAAAATCATTATTCATTCTACAGAGATGGTAAACTTTGTTTCTCTAGTAATTGGATTTTTTATTATTATACTACCGCTGGTTGTTAGTGTTTCGATGTTTTGTGCTTTAAGGTAAGTACTGAGAAATAAAATATTAAAATCAGTGATTTCGTTGCATATCTTTCGTATTTACTTTTACTTTTTCACGCTAACCATAATCTGTTGTTTACGTTTTCCTAAGATATCTTTACAATAAATATCAATCAAATTCAGCGGACAACGCTGTAAATCCGGAGGCTAAGAATTTGACCGGAAAGCGTTCATACGATGACAGTGTTGAAAGAGATGAGGTAAAACAATGTTTTCCTTATTATCGTTTCCATTTACTTTCAGTTCTTTCTCTTCACATCCACCACCGGCTAATTTATTTAAAGACTTCCATAAACTATTGATCTATCCATCTTAATTTGGATCTTACTATATAACGTGGTGGTACATTCCCTTGTATTCCATCGAAAAACAAATTTACAATTGAATGGCTCAGTATTATTAAACAATTATATCAATTTTTAGGGCAAATTTATTAACTGAAATATGAAAAGTAGTTACAAAATTCTCAAGTCTGTCTGTGTTTTACCTTAGAACATAAATGAATAATACTACAGATCGAGCTGCTTTAGCGTCCACTTTATTCGGAAATTTTACGCAATTTTTTTAGAAAAAAAAATGTTTATGTTTAAATACAAAAAATGTTGGAAATCGAACAAATTCAATGTGGGTGAAGTTTAAAACTTAATAAAATAGGTGGTGTGTACGAAATTCGGGTTTATCCGAATTTGTTATTTTCTGTCATTTTCTTCCCTATTTGCTTTCTCTCTCTCTCTTTCTATCTCTTTCTCTAGTTCTTTCTTTTTCTCTCTACCTCTCTGAATTACTCGCTATATTTTTATTGTATTTTAATTTGCGGTCATCATCATCCAATTATTTACAATTGTCCTACGAGTTTGGACGAAAGAAATCTTACGAGTTGAATAATATTATTGTAACAACAGAATTTCCTTAATTATTTATAATAGACGGGCCGAAATGATTGGCTTTTTTAGAGAAAACGAGCAGACTGGACATTATTGAAGAAATTTCCAATATATTAGACTTAAATTTTGAAGGCTTCTTCTCTACTAGTTCTCTCTCTCTCTCTCTCTCTCTCTTTTCCTCTCTACTTTACCATTACAGTCGCCTACTGTTCCATCCCATACATCCCAAGAAAGTGAACGACAGTATACTTTAACAAAAAGTCAACCACTGTCCAACGATAACCTTCAAAATATAAACCAAGTGAATGCGTCTACTCACTTAGAGAGTTCAAATCGCGCTTTAAGTATAAATTCTTGCAAAATTAATGATGGGCTGTTATCCTTATCTGTGGCGTCTTTGATAAAGTCCACCCAAGGAGATAAGTGTGGTCCAAATGGTTCAATTACCAAGATGACCTTGGAAAATAATTTACTAATTGTAGAGACCGAAGAGCGCAATGTAAGTCGACACAGTTCGTTGTGCTTCTTTCTTTAACTCTTTATGTTTTAGATGTGTTCTTGCCTCTCTCTCTCTCTCTCTCTCTCTCTGTCTTGTTCTCTCTCTCTCTCTCTCTCTCTCTGTCTCTCTTTTACGTACAATTTTAACATATTCCCTATTGTGATATTGATGTTGTAAATATTTTATATGTTTGGTTGTTGTCTTTAAAAACACATACACACGGTGTAAATAGTCTATTTGTGTAGTGTTGCATACGTTACTGCTCGTTGTTTTACTCGTTTATATTCTAAAACGGTCTCCACCCCATTAAAATGGATTTTCTTAGGCTGTGTGTTCACTTACATTCATGCACGTTTCATCTTGTTTCCTTTTTTTTTTTTTTTTAGCTTTTGATGTTTTTTCAATGTATTTTGATTTGTTGCTTGATAATGCTCTATAAATTTTTATGGTACGCCACTGTGCATTTAACAATGTCTTTTAAGGATATATCACGTGTGGCTCGAGAAACTAAAATGGATTATAACAAACATGGGGTTTTTGTGGTTGAGGTAGCTCGTGGTATCGATTCAAAGTGCATACCCGAGAGTCCAATTGCTGAAAGTTCAGAGCGAATGCTAGCCGCCTTTGATAATAAGCAAAACGGTGATATAGGCTACAAAGTGATGAAAGACAAAACCACTCACAATAATGAAAGGGTTCAAATTCATTCCCCCCCACCTGACAATGAAGAGCTGTCTAGGAATCTTCATCAAATCGAAGAAGTCGACGAGCCAGTACATTCACCTCAACAAGAAAGTATTGAGAACGACTTAACGCAAGCAAACACGGGCTTGTCGCAATCCGATTTGAGTAGCACGTCGTCCAATGATTCCAATAAGGCTTATAATTACGGAAATCAAGCATTATATGTTATTGAAAATGATGATTATGCGTTAGTGTCGCCAGTTAAAAATGTGATCAACACAGAAAACACAAAACACAACTTAAAAGACGATGATCACAATTCGGAGAATGGACATAATCAAGAGAAAAATTTGGGTCAAAATAAGGAACTGAAGATCGAAGCGGTTAAAAAGAACATTATAAAATGCCATCTGGTACATAGTTCAGAAGTAACTGAGAGGCAAGCAAAAGAAAAAGACATAACTAAGCAGACCATCAGTGAAAGCACAAAGCCAATCGAGAATTTGCATCATAAACAAATGATTGAACGAAAAACTGTTTCTATAAATTCAGATGACATATGTGAGAAATGTGATGAGAGCGATGAAGTAAAATATAATCACTTAAAAATAAAAGAAAAAGAAACCAATGGCATTGTCCTGAAGAAAGAATATGTTCAGGAACTATCTCATCCAACAGATGAGGAAATAAATTTAGTAAATAATGATGAGACTCAAATAAAAAAAGAAGCTTCTGAAATTAGGTCTAATAGTTTGGGACACCCATCTCTCCTAAATAATTCCATTGGAGAATATAATATTCCACTGACCGCGAACGAGTTACTCCCCGATTTGATACCCGATAATTCGTTGATCGAAACGATTGGATTAGAGGAGGAAACCGAGATTGTTAGCGAAAATGGTTATGATAGTATAATAACTTTACCAGCCCCGCCTAATAATGATGGCGCTTTAAGTAATGATGCGAATTTACCGGATACAATTCAATTGGACTCTTTGCCCCCACCACCGTCTCCTTTACCACTAACGAATGAGAGTGAAATAGAGACGGAAACCGATAATATAGATGAATTAGCGCCAGCAGTGGATATGCATACAAATGAATTAAAAGAGTTGCATAAGCCAGGCGAGGAAAAATCAATGAATAGTGTTTACTCAGTAATTCCACCACCGCAACCACCTGCATCTGTTACTCTGAACTTACCTAGCAATGGTAAGTTGGTAAATTCACCTCTTACGCCTCCAGCCTCGCCACCATTGCATTATTCAAGTGGTCTGGCGCATGGTGGCCTATGTGCTCATATTCCGATAACTGTAGATGTGAATGGCAGTTAATATCAAGGCTTATATCGGATTTAAAGTGAATTACCTACACATGTCGACTGAAAAGCTAAATCATTTTGTTAACTTAAATCAAAACACATTAGATACTAAAAATATTTAAGCATGTATGTGGACAAAGCAACGAAAATCTTAAGTATGCGTTTGGGGAGACCAACACATACATATAGATATAATTTAAATCGCGTCTGTGTTGAGAGTAAAAAGCGATGCCTAAACTGCTATAGTAAGGGGCAACCAGGTGAAAAACTTGCTAGAATAAATAAAATAAATAAAAAAATAATAATAATAATATAATATAGAGAATAAGTTTTTACCGCTCGTTTCGTGGATAACATAGGATCTGCTACAAGCAGAGTGCCAATTAGAGTTGAATTTAGAACACTTAAGTCGCCACCCGGAAAGTTTTAGCAGTCCAGTGAGCATGCTATATGGTATAATATAAAGAAGAAAGAGAGAAAATACGATAATAATATATTAATCAATTCTCTCCCATTCTTTCTTTCTTTCTCTCTCTCTATCTCTCTCTTTCTTTCTCTCTCTCTCTCTCTCTCTCTATCATCCTTTTTCTGCCGATCAGAAGTCAGGTGTCTTTCATTAGGACAGAAAAGATCGAAAACAACATAAATTTTCTAGCTCTAGTTCCATGGTGAGCATCTACAATTTCGAAATACTTTGTATATTATTTTTGTCTAAGCACACTACAGTAGAGATTATATGCCGTTAAATGTATTAAGTAGAAATTTTTTGCAAAGCAGTAAACCCGTAAAATAATCTAAAACTAATTTCGAAAATATGTTGTGTATTTCGATGAAATGTCGAAAGCACATTGGATTTGATTAACTCTTTGAAATTCTTATGCAAATTAAATCTTAGATCAAGTAATCGTTATTATTTGCTAATCTGAAAAAGTTACAAATATATAGATAACATCTTTCTTCCTAAACACTTTGCCAAATTTTAGTAAACATTGAACGAGAAGGAAAAAACAAAATTTTATGGTATTAAGCGTATAACTAAAACTTATCATTAAGTTGCATTTGATTATTAAGTAGGAAGATAAACTATGTTAAACGAAATAAGTAAGCCTTTACCAGTATGGAAATAATATGAAAAATTCTAACTGGAACGAGTATACCGTACTACATAAGTCGTATGCAAAAAAGGACATATTATTATTATTATTATTATTATTATGATTGAAACGTGCGTGCCAAAGATAAAAAATGATTGGAATAAAAACCACGAAACAAGGCCTTTTTTTCCGAAATGAGATCTTTAAGTGTTGATATTATTTCCGCAAGCGTCATAACTGTTAATAGAGAGTACATACTCGATCTACATACAAAAGTTTATGAATCGACTTTTAAAAGATTTTTTCTTGATAATAAGAGATTATAAGAGATAATTATAGAATGCCTTCGTGAACAATGTGATTACGGAGATCGGAGCGAATCGTCGAAAAAATATTATAGTCAATATCAATTGTTTGCCTTTATCTTTATTTGCACGAGATAGCGTGCGTTTACAAGAAATAAGGGGGTAAGAGATTTATAATGAATGCTATAAAGATCCCTTGCAAGACTTGGTGTTAATGTGTAAATAATTTTATTTAAAAATGGTGTTTTGTTGGTATCCAAATTAAAAATTATTATATAAACAAAATCCACGAAAGAAATTAAATTCGACCATTGTCTTTTATTAAATTTAACCCGAAACTAAAGGGTATTAATATGATATCAATGTAAGCATAACATGCTGTACAAGTGTACATATGCAGCTATGCAAGTATAACATAATACATATGCCAGCTGTGCTGTGTATAACACCATTTCAGTGTATGAAAGCGTAAGCATATTATTGCAAACTTGTAACGCGACATACATGCAATATAGATACGTGTATCTAAAAGATTAATAATTATAAGAAGTGAAATCTCTAATTAGCAGATATTTTCTAAATTGTGGTTAAATTTCCAATAAGTAAATAAAAGAGATGAACTCAGAATGAAGGTCGATATTGTAGAAAAGTTTCAAAGCCAATATTCATAATGGCAATAAGCGAAAAAAAAATAGCCATATATGCGGACAAAAATGAGTAATAGTAATTTAATATGGATGATTGCCGTACAGATTTAATTGCACGATTTTCAATCGCGTAGAATGGAAGGGAATTTGATTTTACTCAGCTTTGGCTGAGATATTTAAGTTTGAGCGACAAATTGAAACCACGTTATTGGACATACGGACAGAAAATGCAGTGCTTAAAAGTTCTGTATTGCATACATCTAAATATTACGCACTTAATGAAAAATCAATCGTATTATACTGTTTCTAATGGCTGTAAGATAATACGTCTATTCGTACATATACACAGATTTGGCGTTTGCATGTACTGATATGAATTAATTAGTATTGTTTATGGTATCTTTCTTCGAAGAATAATTTAGTAATATTTATTTCAAATACAGATAAGAAAAAATTGATCAAATTTAAAGTTGTCCAAAATAAATATATATATAAAAATTAAGTGAAAAAAATTATATATAATGAATAATTCAATGTACCACCTAACATCACGCATATATGCAAATCTATGCATACGCGTATATATATGCATATATATATATATTTATATATATATAGTGTATGTTTACGTTATTATAAAAATAAAAATTTTTACAAATACATTGTCTTTAGCGCGGCCAATGCTCTTAAAAGGGCCTTGAAAATAACTAATCGTTTTTGTCGTTAAAAAAAAGAAAACATTACACTTTTGATACACATAGTCAGACGTTTGTCGTATGTTTAAATGACTAAAACGAAGATCTCGCATCATTTCTTGCGATAGGAAAGCATTTAAATATTTCGTAATTTTTTGTATTTAGGATTCTGAGACCGATTCTGTTCGTCATTTTGCTCGCTTGGTTATCTGCATGATTATACAATTCTTCAAAATAGGTAAAATCGCTAGAATAGAAGTGGCAACAGCGAATTTGGGGAATAGATCATTAAATCAATTAAATGAACGAAAAACAAAACACGTAAACCAATGCGAGTTTAGAGAAATGATATCCCTTAAACTCAATAATATACATATAAGTAATAAAAATTTGAGCGATTTTCGTATTTTTAGTTCTGATGATGCGAGTTTAACATTTGACTTAACACGAATACATATAGTTTTTGTTTTACTATTCATTTATTTTTTATTATAATTAGATTTGAGTTCTGAGTGAAAAACATTTTTAACTATACATATATACATGTAGTCGTGAAACAACATTTACCCAAACCATAAGTGGATATAAAATAATTGTATATGTGATTGTTATTTGACTCCTCGTCTAATTAACTTTAAATCAATGATTATTAATTATAATAATAATAATAATAGAAATAATAATACTGAAAAAATAAAAAAACGAATTACATTTAAAACACGCGAATGTGCAATTTTTTTAATATCCTACTCTGTTGTGGTTGGTGGGTAAGACCGACAATTTAATAATTTGAATCCTATGAATCTAAAGATTGATATGAGTTTTTTTTAACAGAGTGCCAGCAATAAAGTAAATAGGATAATTAATATATAAATAAATTGAAGAAATATAGAAAAAGATATAAAAAAAGATCAGATGCGTGATTTATGTCAAAGAAATTTACTTTTAAATATGATTATTAGGGCGTTTATTATGATTCACAGCTTAATACAACGCCATGTTACGGACAGTAGAGTTTTGTTCTATTCAGATAGAAAAACGGACAGACGGGCGTGCTTAAATCCATTTATAATTTCATATGGATCACGAATATATATACTGTGTGGGTTCTTTGATAGTTCCTTCCGGTCGTTGCAAACGGTGTGGAAAAATGAATATACCGCTCGGCCTTCGGTAATGAGTATAAAGACACAACTTTAAGTGAAGTTGATGAGATTCTTGTCACTTCCGATGTCTCACGAGGAAGTCGGTTGGGATCGATGCTGTTTATTTTATACATTGATGACCTCATCTTAGCTATTGAATCTGCTCATATCCTAATGTACGCAGGTTACGTCAAATTTTTTCCGCCGGTTACTTCGGAAACTCAATGATGTCTCTTCCAAACTGACGTAAATAATTTAGTAACGTGGCAGTCCTTCAATTTTATGTGGTTAAACGAAAAGAAATGTGAGAAGCTGTCATTTTCAAGGTGGAACATGTTCGCAAGGAAATCTTTTATACACTGCAGAGGGTGGATTCATTTCTTGACCTAGGTATCTTGTTTGATCATCAACCTTCGATTCAATTTGCATATTCAACACTCTGTGAATGAAGCTATATCAGTGCTAGGCTTCAATAAACGCTCGTCGAAGGAATTTGACGGCGCATATGTGACAGGAGGATTATACGTCAGCTTAGTACGTCCTGCATTTGAATAGGCCCCTTTTTGAATTCCATTCAATCTCTGCAAAGGCAGTTTTTGTTGTTTGCTCTAAAAAACTTGTGTTGGGATCCATGCGCCATCCGCCCCCCGCCCTCCTTATGAAAACATGTTGCTACTTATATTCTTGCCATCGCTTGAGAAACCGAGGATGGTATTGGGCATTAGTGGCAAAATGGTGAAGCTGATTAATGGTACCATTGAGTAGCCGTTTTTGTTGAGTGCGATTAATTTTAACGTTCCTTCCTGTCCAACAAGATACTTTCGTTTGATTAAACTTAGCCGATGCAGGCTAAATTATGAGCTTGTTAATCCACTTATGGTTCTCCGTAGCAATCAGAATTACCTTTAAAACTCTATTTCCTTATCGGATCCTCTTGCATCCACTAAGATTACTCTTTTGAATGCTCGCGCGCTGCCGACGTCTTACATAAAATAATAGTTAAAGCCTATTATTCGGAATGCTGATACGGAATTTGATGATATTACATTGTTTATTTTCTTATATGTTTGTATTAATTGTCTATTGTTGTACGACTCCTTCACTTGAATTGTAATTAGGTTAAGTCTTCAGATGTATTAATTGCGCAATTCAGCTGAATCTTCGCTGTAGCTGAATTCTGTATTTATGGAAAATAAATAAATAAAACTAAATTAAATGATAAAAAACTATTTTGTTTTTTATATAAACTTTCGCTATATAAAAGCATCTAGGACGGCTTTAATGTCTGAAAAATTAGTTATATCGCTAGTTATAATAGTTGAAACTTATTTCGACTTCGATATGTTCAAGTATCAAAAAGGTCCAAAAATCAAGCAGTTTAAATTACGCAACTTAAGAAATTACATAATTGGACGCATATAGGTAATTCGAAATAGTTTTTAAGTCTTATACTTCTTACACTTTAGCTGAACCATACGAAACCGGATATGTTTCTTATGAAAGAGTTTTAAGACCTTCGAATTTACTTTTTCGTTTATTGTTTTATCGTTATTTTGGCCAACAAAAATTAAAGGTTGTATTTATTTTATTTTATTTATTCCACTTATATTAGAAACTCAACTAAACAAATAACAGTCGAGTT